AGCGGATAAAAACGCGTTTGATGCATCATGACATCGTAGAAATGTGATACTCCTCCTTTCTGCATTCGGTAGCTGCTGATGATCTGGGCTGCCATGGCTGTCTCACGACGCCGACGCTTTAGCCCACCATAGACCCAATCTGGAGGAGTCCAGGGATTGAGTTTTCGGTGAAGGGCTCCTGCATTGAAATTCCTTCCCAGGGTGCACATGACCATGATAATTCGTTCTCCATCGCAGTCCAGTTTAGCATTCTTGGGTAGCCTGGCCGCCTGAGCAGCATGCCACGCAGCGGGCGGGCGCCTCCAGCGCCGATAGGCAACAAGTAGCTGCTTGAGAAGTTATGCAGAACGATTCTCTGAAACTCCACTTCTCCGGGTCCAATGCCTGCTCGTGGCCTGGGTCGTCGATCATTGACCCATGTCGGGAGAAAAAAAGACGCAATAACTCTGGTGGACAAGACTGTTCGGGCCAAGTTCTCCAAAACCTAAGCTTCCAGACGGTCCGTGACATTGATTCGAAATCTTCCACGGCAAAACCGATAGCCTCGAGTTCTTGCCTGGGTCCCCGAGGGAGGTCCTGAACTTCTCGCTGAATGGTCTCCAGGGAGGACTCCGTGGCGGAGCAGCCGCCCTCACTGGACGCTAGCTCCATGCGTTCGGCCCACATCGAGGCCGAGGCTGCAGACTGAGGTAGAGCACGATACTGTCTCTTGCGGGGCCCTCGCCCTTTGCCAGCCAGCATGCGGGATAATTTATGTACCAAGTAGTAGATGCGCTGCTCAAGAGCTTGCTTGAGTTCGGCTACTCGCCTGTTGCGAACGTCCTCCCAGCATGTTCGAGCCGTGTCCCTGAGCTGGCGACTGAGTTGCTTGATCGCGTCGGTCATTTGCTGGGCTACATAATCGCTAGTGGACCTGCCAAGCAATTCGCGCTGTCGTCTTCGTTGCTGCAACAATAAACCCCATAGCTGTGCGCTGGTAACTCTCTCCTCCGTGTACAGCGGGGAGTTAGCGAACGCTTCGCAGGCTGCTGAATTGAGCACCCTCATTAAAGTAGAGCTCATGTCGTCCACTTTGCCCTCCTCGTACATCCTCTTGAAATCCTCCATTACCTCCTCCACCTTCTGATTCACTACTTTGATGAACTCCTCTCGCTTAAAACCTAACTGCGCGCACTCGCGCATGGCCTCGCGATTGGGCCGAGCTGGCCGCTCGGGAAGAGGAGCGGTGGAGGCGATAACGCGTGCAACTAATACAACTGGCGTGTGGTCCCTGGCTGAAGCCGCCTGGTGCACTTGAAGTCGCCTGGCGCTTCTAGCGTGAACTTGGCAGCTTTCAACTGCGGGAAGAAGAGCGCGAGGGACCACCACATGGTCGATGTGACTTTCTCAAGACTCACCGACGTAGGAGGCAACATTCGGGAAGAAGGTGTTCGCGGCAGCGAGGTCCCAGGCCTGCAGCACGGGGCGAATCGCAGCAGAGGCGGGGCAGGGGTTGCCGACGCCGTATTCTCCTGCAACATAGTCATCTTCAGAGTGCCTGAGACCTCCATTCAAGTCCATGTACAATAGGGGGAGTGCATGCTTGCTGTCTAGAATCTCGAGCGCGAAAGATACCCGTACCCTTACCTAGACAGGGTGGCAAGGGGCCGGGGGGGCGGTTCGTCGCAGCTGACGGCGGCTGCACAAGTGTAGAAACGACAGCCGATTGAGCATTGCAGACCGCTGTCTTCTCGGGGCGCACGTTAGCACCGATCGCACGTGCGTTCGAATCGGCGGAGTGCCCGACCCTGCGTTGGTTGTTGTCGATGTAGACCAGCTACTGCGGAGGCGCGCCCCCGGACACACATCCGGACGTTGAGGAATGAACGCGCGCTCGGGGGCGCATGCGAACAACTCTGGCGCGAACGCCATTGCGCGACAAACGCCCTATCGCGAATTGCTCGATGCAGAAACATCGCGAATCTGTGCCTTGGACGGCCGTCTGCGGATCACCCCAGCTAGGTACGGTTGCCCCATGAAAACCCAAAAAGCATACCCGTACCTAGCCGGGGTGCCGCAGCTCACCCCAGCTAGGTCCGGGTATGTTTCGGTGGTTTCAGGCAGGTCCCCGTACCTAGCCGAAGTGGCGGCAGGCCCAAAACGCTCTCGAGCACATATCATGCCCTCCAGAGCCGTCCCCGACATGGCCGCTGCGGCCCCCTGGGGGCGCGACATTGCAACGTCGTTCCTCAGGGCAGGCCCAGACGCATTGGTTGCCAGGATAACGAGGAAATGCAACTCTTTATCGATCGGGACAGGTGCCGCCACATACGGGCGGCTTTGAACCGCGCGCGCTCCACGATGGCCCGAAACGTCCCTTACAAAACCCAGCGCTTGTCGCTGCAATTAGACACCCAACCATCGAGCGCGCCGTTGCGTCTTGACGCGCGGATGCTGCACTGGCGCGCGCGGGGCAAGCTAACCGGGCACAGTGGCAAGCGCCCAGTCCCCCGGACGGCCCATCTCACCTTGGCTGGCCCCGGGTACGGGTATCTTTCGGACCAATGATAGAAGCTCAAGCGCA